GGAAATTTCTAGCGTAATCTCACAGCTATGTATGGAAAATAGTGTTTGTTTATGTTTAATTTATTAAAATATCACAAGATATCATAAAGATTTAAACTTTATGATAAGCTCAAGATCTGTTTGATAACTTCAGCTAGATATCTTGGCCAGGTCATGGCTACACTGGGGGTTAATGTGGTGTAGATGCTAACTAAAACTTATCTGTCCCTCACAGACAGCGTGGAAGATGACTTTGAGTTATCCACTGTGTGCCATCGCCCTGAAAGCATGGACAAGCTGCAGGAGCAAACTAAGTTTACCAAAAAGGAGCTCCAAGTCCTCTACAGGGGCTTCAAAAATGTAGGTCTGGTTACAGAAGACAGTGAGAAAACAGGGGTTCTAGTTGAATGTGTGCATATCCTGTGCAAGATGGGAATTAATGAGTTTACATTTTTTAAAATGTATTTTCTTTATTTTTTTTCCCAGGAGTGCCCAAGTGGTGTGGTAAATGAGGAGAACTTTAAGAACATTTACTCCCAGTTCTTCCCTCAGGGAGGTGAGTTCTCCCAGCAATAAGCACGAAGAAGTCCAACAGTGCCAGTAGTTTCATTTATTTCAAAATGAAATTAAAACAACAGTTGTTAATGTTAATTTAGCTTTTTGTCATGACAGTGAAGCAAATATAATTATCTTACTCTAAGTCTACTCGGCTTGACTGAGGTATATGCACTGCAGAGAGGCAAAGTGATTTTTCATTTCACAATATTTAGGTTGATGAAATGTTAACCACTCACCTCCAGTTGTATTTGAAATTATTTTTATATCTACTCTATATTTAGACTGCTGCTAATCGCAGCTGTTCAAAGACATGTTTTGAGGGCACACGGGTTACAGTAAGTCTCTACCTTTGCAGATTCAAGTATGTATGCACATTTCCTGTTTGAAGCCTTCGACACGAACAAAAACGGCTCGGTTAGTTTCGAGGTAAGCTCTATTCTATTCTTACATATCAGCTTCTTTTGAGGAATAAAGGAAGATGTGTGCTCTTCTGAAATTTGTCATCACTTGTGTTTGCACACAAATATGTATTTGTACACCCAGATTAGGCTGTGATAAAGGTTTGACTTTATTTACTGTGTCAACATTTAAGTAAAGATAACACAATGCAGGAAATCGTTCCCGCTTTTGTTGCAGGACTTTGTATTTGGCCTGTCTATCATCCTGAGAGGGACCATTAATGACCGGTTAAACTGGGCATTCAACCTCTATGACTTGAACAAGGATGGCTGCATCACCAAAGAGGTAACACACATGTGATTGTTTTGGATTTGTTGATTTCTTGGTCCCTTTGAATTACTTGCTGATGATTACTCATTATCAATATTTTGCAAGTATGTAGAGATTTCTGGCAGAATATTTATCAATGACATTTTCCATCACACAATAAAAAAAACATTTTTATTGGAAATTCTCAATACTGTTTTCTCTGTTTCTCGATACACTTTACAGGAGATGCTGGACATCATGAAGTCCATCTATGACATGATGGGGAAATACACGTACCCCACCATGCAGGACGATGCCCCAAGAGAACATGTGGAGAGCTTCTTCCAGGTCAAACAAAACCATGTTTTCTTTCCCCCTCGTTTAATGATTGTTTAAAAGCAGAAAATTATGGATGGCATCAATATTGTTTTGGGGAAAACAATGATGCTGTTAGCCAAATAAATGTCTGGTTGTTGTATTTTCATTTCAGAAAATGGACCGGAATAAAGATGGGGTGGTCACCATAGATGAATTCATTGAGTCTTGCAAAAAGGTAGAGCATTCCAAATCCTGAAGGAGTATTGAAAACATTTTTAGAAATGCACTCCTTTAGAATCCCACCACGCTAATCATGTAACTACAACTGGAGAAAGAGCTAATTGTAGCATAAAGAAAGTCAGGGGAGACATCTAGTCTTGCTCTTTCTAGGAAATCACTGCACCTGACCAAGAACTATTTTCTGCACATAACTCTCCATAAAGCCACAAATTGCACATAAACCCGTGCACATCTCTTACCTCTTTGTAGGATGAGAACATCATGCAGTCCATGCAGCTGTTTGACAATGTCATCTAAACATCTGGACCAGTGAGGACACTGGCACCAGAGAGGGGTACGTGTGTGTGGGTGTGTAAGAGGAATACGGGATTGAAGAGAGAGAGAAAGAGTCTGATTCCATGTGTGTTGCGTGTGTGTGGCTGTCTCCCGACTTGCAAGCTTGTGCTCGTGTCTCTGTTGAGAGCTGAGTCCTGAGGACACAGAGAGGGCCCCCTCCCTCTAACTGGACCCCCCAGTGGCTTCCTCCAAGCAACAAAGGAGAGTCCCCAGCGCCCATCCTCATCATGCAGAACCTTATGTTTTATCCCAGAGACACAGAGAAAGCAAGCAAGCAGTGGGCTCACAGCCACCTGCACACCTAACACCCAACCAGCCCCTGCCTGTTTTATTTGAACTTTTATTGCTCTTGCTGACGGAGGGACTATCACAGCCTTTTAATGGTTGAACTCAGAAGAAGGATGCTCTCCCAAAACCCTGATCTCAGATCACTTTTCCCCTTTCCTCCGTAATGGCTGAGAGATGGCATTGTGAACCTGATCTTGCCTCTGCAGATGTGGGTAACACCTTCCTGGAGCCGTTAAGACTCATGGCTCATTTGCTGGCCATACAAATAGAAATGAATCTACAGCCACCTGGTGGACAAGAGAGAAAAAGACACTTCCTGAGGGAGCAACCAACAAACTGGTGATCCGAGCGATTCCGTCTTACGGAGGGAGCTTCAAACTCGTTTTTTCCACAAGGGACTGATTTAAATATCGCATGATGATGTCACTAATATCTACTTATGTATTTACAGAGATACTCCAAAGTCTGCTCGTCTGTCTGCTGTCCTAGTCATTCACAGGTGCCTCACCCTTTGCGTATGTGTGCGTGCATGTGTAACAGGAGATGTCATCTGTCTTACAAATGTAAGACTCTTGTGACACAACACCCACCTTCATTCACAAGATTTTGGTAGAGTAATTCCCGGCCTTCCAAACTATTACAATCCTAACAGTAGTTGTCTATTGACTGTTGTACATTTTCTAGCATTCCCAGTGGTGTGATATTAGGCTGTACAATGTGGGGATTGCACTATAATTTAATGAGCCGTTTTGACCCTAGCAGCTTCTCTCGACATGGGAATGACATACCACAATCGTACTAGTCTATGAATATACATTCAAAGAGAAGTTTATTAGATTGCAGATTGTATTTGTGAACTTATTGTAATCTGAAATGTCATGTGGTTGTCACAGGTTCTACCACTTGAAAAAACACAAAAGTCCCCACACCCTTTTTGCATTAAATCTGACTATTTCCATTCCAAGGAGGCATAAAGTGATTGTGTGTAGCAGGGGAAGACAAAGTTTGATAGCAGTTTTCTTTTTTCTGTGCCCCCATTGTTCACTCCATTTCTTATTCTCCCTCTCTCTGTAACACCAAAGAAAAGATATCAATTAAAAAGGTACATAAAGCCACTTAAGGCAAGACATTTAGCCCACCTGTGGGTGAAGACAGAGGGAGTTACTGGGTATCAAGCTGGATAAGGGGCAATCAGAGATAAGAGGTAGACTACATGTAGTTTATCTGCACGCTGTCAAGTGCAATTTTAGGTTGTGAACCCATCCATTAGGCTCAGATTAATTATTTTAGAGCAATTTGCAACCACTTATTTGCTTCTTTTCACACTAGAACTAAGCAACACAAATGTGAGATGATGTGAGGCACTCGGGCCGTAATTAAATCGGCCAAGTGTCTTAAAAGCTGAAACAAACATGAAATAGCAATAATGTTCTCCACTCACCCGACGTCTCCTTCCTCTCAGAGCACACTATAACGGCCCTGGTTAAAATATGCACTTCCGGCCCTGCAATTTCTTATTTTTTTATGTTCTGCAGTTTTTACATTTATACGTTCTGGAAGAATGGTTTGGCTCTGATTGTTCCTGCCCACAGTTACGTTATTTTCCCCAAACACAAGGAAAACCTGTCTATACCCGCATGTACTGTGTCTAGAACAATGAAAACCTACTAACCCGTGGTACTGACTGTCTAGCTAGCCTAAACTGGTTGCATAGCATATTCAAAATGTGTATATTTTGTACAGAGATAATAAAAAAAACAAAAAACACAGTTACTATGCAAAATGGACTGGCGTGTGAATTTATCAGACTATACATAAATTGTCTTTATTAAAATAAGTCCTTTCAGTGAGATAAAGTACAAAGTACCTGTAGCAATAACATTTGACATTTTGACCTGTCACAGCAGGAAAAACAGTGTATATCAGCTTAAGTGAGGACCTGCTTTTATTCATTCTGGTACACTTTCAGTGCTTTGGGAGAGTCATCATAAATTCCCCCTTTTTCCACATCTGTGAGTCCAAAAAAGGGGAAATAGGCAATGTCCATAATAATATTCAAATTATGATTCATCATAATGTCAACAGGAAACATTTACAGCTTAAATATACATAATTACATAAACCATCCCAGGAGCCAGGTCTCCTTCCACTAACAGGCAGTAGTATCTATGCAGATTCACCCGACCATGTGACAATTTCATAACCAAAATGTCATCCAGAACATTTTTTAAAAGTGTGAGCATCAACAAATACAGTAATTCAGTCTACATTTCTGAAGAACCAGCTGACTCCAAACCATGTACACAGCCTTCAACTGCCAGGTTATTAAAGCTGAAAATTTTGTTTTGTTTTGTATGTTCTAATGAAATTCCTGGCACAGCAAAACACTTCACAAGTTGGGTTTCTCTGACAGCAAAAGCTTTCGCAGTCATTTGAGTGTATTTCTGATGACGGCCTTGATGCATATTTTTTTTAAGGACTCTCCTGTGTAAAGTATCATGAGCACAGCAAGTGGGACATGGATGACCGGTGGAAAAAAAATCTCAAGTAAAACTGAATTTAATGAATGTGATTTCTTTTTTTCCCACTTTAGGAATATTATCTTTATTTAAATAAAGTTTAACTTGTATTGTGATTTCTATTACTCGTGATTGGGGGAAAAAAAGATTGCAATGTGCAGGGGTGAAATTGTTTGAGCTTTTTAAGTGGGGGCTGACATACCCCACTGAACAGATGCTTCAGCATATACAGAAAAGTCCATCATTAAATAAAGAACACAGTTTCATGTTTTTCGAGTTCACTACTGCCTCTTAAAACTTTGACCTGCAGCGACCAGGGATAGGTTTTCTCTGTAAAACAGCAGAAATTTACTTGGGCATTCTGCGAAGCTCTGCCAGAACCCAAATAGCCAGCGAGAGAAGAGCCACTGAGCCAGACTGGTGAGTTGCAGCCAGCGGAGTGGGGACATAAAGTAACAGCGTGGCGATACCCAGTGCAACCTGAAAAGCACAAAAGCACAATTTGTTTATGCTGAAGGGTAATGGACCTATTTGTATAGCAATTACAGTGTCTTCTAGCCTACCTGTGTATAGGCCATTGCTGCCAGGAGGCTGATGGCAATCTTAGCCCTCTTGGGAAGCATCATTCTCCTTGAGAACAGATACAGGCCTGTAATTGCAGTCAGAGAAGTAATCCCCTGGGAAAAGAAAAAGACATCTTGAGGGGTACATATTAACATTTCATTACACATCAATCTAAAAGAGTTATAAAACTTGGAAATATTATGTTTAATTAGAATAAAAACAATGAAATGCCAACATTTTTTTTAGCTATAATAGCATACCAAAATTCTATGATCAAATTGCACAGTGGTGGGATTTTCGAAGAAATTCTTGAGGGTCGGAGAGAAGGCCAGCAGATCATCAGGAATCCATCTATCTGCCATCTTAGGGAAGGAGTTATAAACAAGCCCAGCATCCAAACCAGCAACAAAGGCACCTGTGTAAAGGTACATGCATAAATGATTCAAATACATCTCCATGAATAGAGATTAAACCACATTTGTATTGCCTTTAATTACATTAACTTTACTTTTCTACACAACCGCTCAACCCATTTGCCCTCTAAGAGCCAACTTTACAAAAGACCTTTCGATTAAAATCAAATCAGATGAATAAGCTTTTTGTTTCAACATTTACCAAAAGCCAAGATACAGTACTCAAATTGTAGCCCAAAAACATTACATGGGGTAGCAGGCCAAATGTCTTTCCTCAAACCATAAGTTTCAGAGTCAAAGTGTGAAGCTTCGTACAGACTGTGAGGTGACTGGCGTAGTATGCGCCTGTTAAGAGAGGAAACATGACACTATATACACTTAGGGTTACTCTAATGGAGTCAGCTGTGAGTTGCCATGAATGACTCTGAGTGACTGTCACTCTAGTATTCATTAGTCAGTCTTGTTGTGAATTTACAGTTGAAGAATTTTATGTAACACATTGTGCTTTTTGCAGACGCAAATAAGCAGAACACTTTGAAGATGTATTGTGGACTCCTACTCTTCCGGGACTGAAAACCATTTGCACATGTCAAATTCTAACTGCTCCTCTAGCATCATTGCCATTTACCAAGAGCTTCCTATGTTCTGTCAGAACAAGTGCCACTTTAAAGAACACCTATGCTTCTATGATGGTCGTCTTCACTATTAACATCCTGCTTTTTGAGAAATTTCTGTGCAATTTTGCTGTAGTTACAGGTAGTTCACTTTGTTTCCCCAAAGTGGCTTGAGACTGAAAGCAGCACTTCGGTAGACAGATTCTGTGACCCCATTTGTGACACTGAATTCTCTTAAGATCCAGTAGTACCTGAAAGAGCAGTGAGGAAGACGAGTCCACCAGTACCCTTGGCAAACCTCCTGAGCTGCATGAGTTTTTTGGTTTCTGCTATCTGTGAAAAAGGTGCCATTATTCAAGTTTAAAAAAAAGACTGTTTCACTTTACATTTCTCCAAAATGTATCATTTGTTTTTTCTGTAGGCAAGAGTCCCTCTGTACCCTGTGAGCTGGCAGCAGCAGAGTAAGCCCTGTCCACATACTGGCACAGTAGAGCAATAAGGCAGAACCAAGATGGGCGCTCAGACGATACTGGCTGACACGAGGGATGTCATGAGACTCGGGCTTCTCCTCCAACCCGCTTTTCACCATGTACCACCCCAGAAGGCCCTGACAAAACAAACACATGTATACACATTCCTTACTTTACATTTATAATAAACCCGATGGTGACAATAATTAAATATTAGTACAATGAACCTATTTAAAGAAAAAAAAAAACAAAAAAAAAAAACGATGCTATAAGTGACTGAGAATTAGCTATGACGTAAATCCAAAACACATCTGAAACAACGCAGCCTGTTCAGTACAGCTGATTCCTTCTGTACAATTCCGGCTACTTTTACGCCGGAGTTTTTAAACTTGTCAGTGACAGACTAACGTCTCAATATACGGAATGATAATTATAGCATAAAATATAAGGACTCAGAAATGTCAGCAATGTCAGTGTGAAAAGAAGCTGCAACTACCAGAATATAAGTGAGAGAATGCACAAAGAGGTAGAAAGCATTGAGGGACAAATAAGTTTACTAATGGCTACTTCTGCAGGTTATGATGTAGGCTCAACAAAGATTCACTGCAGAAGTCTAAATCAGGCATGAGGTAATGATTATTTCCAGTGATCTTCTCATTTCCACAGCTGTGTCTTACCTGGAAGAAGACAAATCCACAAAGACCCAGCACTTTTCCCTTCATGGAGCGAGTGAAGTATCCTTTTTTCCAGAAGTAAATAGTGGGGAGGATGTATGCCAAGCCAACCAGCCTGCCCCACATACGATGTCCCCATTCCATGTAGAAGATAAACTTAAACTCTGGCAAAGTCATGTTATGGTTCAATCTAAACAAACAAAACACATAATAATACCAAATTAACTAATTGCCGCATTAGAGGCCAGACCAATACATAACACAGAGACACATTTAATTAAATTTATCAGGCCTTTATGTACTGTGATTCTGAAAAATGAGACCTTACATTTTGAATTCTGGAAACTGCTGGTACTTTGAAAACTCAGCTTCCCACTCTCCTTCTGACTGTGGTGGTTTCATCTCTCTCACCAGATGCCAATCAACCATGGAAAGCCCAGATTCTGTCAGTCTAATAAAAAAAATAAATACATAAAAATACAGCAATGTAGTAAATGCCTGTTAACAGTACTTCAGTGAGTAAGTAGTACATACAGACATACTAATTTTAAAACGTGCGTACCTTGTGACACCACCCAAGACAATAGCCCCAACCACCAGTCCACTGCAGCCAAGTAACCATCGACCCACTATGCGATTTGAGGCTGCATTGGGGACAGAAGCTGCTGCTGCTGAAGTGGACGTTCCTCCCTCCACTGTGACGGTGCTGTGACCTCTCTTCAAGAGCCATTTTCGAAGCGGTGAACGCTAATGTAAATAAAAGGGAGAAGTGGCTTGAAATGATGATGGACAACACAAGCATTAAAGCTTCAACTTTACCTTATTATAAAAATTTTAAAAAGTCATTTTAAATGTCATTTACACTCAGCACCCTTAATCCAGTACATCGACTATCCCTTCTCTGCACATGTCCAACCCATCTCAACCTTTCTTCTTTAATTTTGTCCGCTCAACCTGAGCTGTTCCTGTTATCTGCTGTCAGACTCCACAACAAAGACTCTGTGGATGACCACACATATGCAGACAGACACACACACACACACACACACACGTGCAGTACCACTAAGTGTAATTTATCTGACGAAACATAGTATTTTATTCTATTTTATATTGCATGTTATTCCTTTTATCCTATTCCACTGATTTTCTTAATTTTTGCTGCTTGTAACTTTGCACTGTCCACTTTCTGCCGTGACCCAACAAATTTCCCACATGTGGGACTAATAAAGGTTTATCTTATCTGTCACAAATCACCCCTGGCATTGGTCTCCACCCACACCCACGACTGCCTGCACTTTCTTCTTCACTGTGGCTTTGGATGCAGTGACACCCCCACCTTGAACCCATCTGTCACTGCTACCCCACACCTCACCAGTGTCTAGCTGTCCTCCAATATAGTGCACCACACACATATACTCGCATATAAGCAGCATGTTAACAAATTACGAAAGCACAACACATGTAAGGTGATTCTATAGTTTTAGATATGTAAGAGCTAATTAACCTACTTTACTTCAAGCTTATAAACAAAGGCTTACGGTATTGCTGAATTTGATATCACTATCTTTTCTGAACATTTAGTTACTGATAAATCAAAAACCTTCTTAAAGGGTCTATGATATTAGTTCTTCCATTCTAAATTTTTTTTTCAGCTCAAATGCTAATCTAAAAGTTTGCATTGCCTAGACATGGGTGATGTAAGTTAGCTGTTGGACGTGACTACTCTTGAATACACCTAAACACCTAATGTTACCTGTCCTAACTAATTCAAACACATATTAAAAACAAAGCTGAACAAAGAGCAGCTGACAGATGTGTAATGTGACATATTGTGTATATTACTGGCAGCGTGTGACCTTCCCAATGACGCTTACTTAAGCTATTGGCTAAAATTAGCGGCTAACACAAGTCATACTCACGGTGCTGTACTGAAAGCCCTTTCCAGCACTTCTGCACCCACAAAAAATTGTTGTCCGCAACGACGAAATTAACATCTCTGTGCTCCAAGACTCGTCGCTAGTGCTGAAGCTATCCAACAGTGTTGCAAAAGCTTCAGCACGTTTGTTACTGTGCTGTCACCCGGCTGGTTTCCTAACGGCCAGTTTCAACTTTGACCTTCTGACGTCACAAGAAATTTACTCACTAAATAAAATGTATGTCTTTTTCTTTGTCAGGAATGAAACATACTCAACATAAATACATATATATATATACAACAAAATATATATACATATAAATAATATACCAGGCTTTCGAAATTATATTACACAGACTAGAACGTTTGGGGGGAGGGGGGCTTGTTTTGTCTTCAGGCGTATCCTGCATGGGCGGGCATACGTCGCATTTCGCCCAGTAATGCATCATAAAACGTTTATATATTCTCACCCGTCTAATCGCGTGTTTTGAATTCAACGACCCGGAAAACGGTGATCTACGGACTAGCTGTATGAGCTGAAGTAAGTCTCACAAAACATGACCTGACTTCATATCGTTTACGACTGATACGGTTCCATGAGTCGATAAGACGTGGATTTAACAGGTAGCTGTAGTAGTAGTTAAAACCTAAAGATGAATGAACGTGTTAACTGAGGAGTTTTCACGTAATCTTGTTTGCTCACTAACTGTATTCCTGTCTCTTATTAGACTGTCAGTATGGCAGAGTGCTTTTTAATGGAGGTGTGCGTGGACTCAGTGGAGTCTGCTGTCAATGCTGAACGAGGAGGTCAGTAAAGTGAACAGTAGTGAACACTGTCATGCCGTACTATTATTAAACTCACTGTGGCGTGCTTGCTAGATTGGTCATGCACAGGCAGTTCTACTTAAAAACAGAGTTAACGGTTGCATAATATTGAAGTGTTAGCTCAGACATATCTCTACCATGAGTATTAAATTGGCACGCAGTGTTATTTAATTCCTCAAAGATTACAGGCTGTAAAAGTCTATATAGGTGTAATCAGAACTCGTCTGTCCTGGCAGGTGCGGGTCGACTTGAGCTGTGCTCTAGTCTTCTGGAGGGTGGGCTCACTCCGAGTCTAGGTAAGCATCTGCAGATACCCCTAGCAAAAAACAAAACAAAAGAAAAGAAAAGCTGTCGCATCAGGCGCCAGCAGATCTTTCAGGTTTTAGTCAACTGGAACTTGCCAAGTTGCATTACTGCCATCTTCTGGAAAATCCTTAAATACTATTTAACAGACAAGGCTTGGGTCAAAAAGACTTTCTACCCTTTCCCAATCACATTACTATGACCTCCATGGAAAAAGAGATCTAATAAGGACTTAGGAAAAAAGAACAGGATGCACATAGAATTTGACTGTTCTTACACACAGCTCTACTTCAAAAGTAGGAGTATGATGTTTAGAGGTCACCTGTGGGTTTATATACCCTTTAACAAATCTAAACATCAGCAGACTATGACATAATAGAATAAAAAAAACACAGTTAATGTGTTAGCTGTCGATTATGGCTATGTTTGTTTTTAATAATAGTCAGGTAGTGTATCTCTTTGAATTATGGGATGTCATTATGTCCTTTTCTTTCATAAAGCCTGCTCTGATGCAGCCTCTGCTAAGAGAGGTAAAATAAAAGAATAAAAACCTTTTCTTAGTATTTAGAGAACTCGATTGGCTCTTGTTATGCCACCTAGACACACTTCAGTCGGTTAGAAACCTTCCTAAGCAATTTCTTTCTATGTGACTGCAGCCCAGTTCATGAAAGAAAAGCATTAAAGTGTGTAGATCCTTGTCGTTCTTACCGCCCTCTCTGCAGGTTTGCTGTCATCATGTCTCTGAAGGTCATACTGGTTCAGTTTGGTGGGATAAAGTCAGAGACATGATGGATGTTGCTTGTGCTGTGGAGAGTTTTATTTTGGCTGTTATGTCTATTCATGTCTATTATTGGTTTTTATTACTTTTGATGTTCTCTTTTCCGCTGCTTCCCCTACGTTGTGCCATACCAGTTTATTATGACTGTGTAATATACATACCTACTCTGTGTTTAGTCCAATACAGCAACCACTGTTGAACAATTTTATTCCACCCTCTGATTCGCAGAGTTTCATATAAATACATATAATGCCTTTATAACTTGAACCCAATTAACTATGTCTTCAGTAGTCCATAGTCTGTACTAAGCATTATCCTATTTTATATAGGAAGCCTGGGAATTTGTTGCATGACACATAATTCCACCTGTACTTTACTCCAGGTGTGCTACATGTAGTGAAGCAGTATGTCAAAATCCCCATCTATGTAATGATACGCCCTCGTGGGGGCGACTTCCTGTACTCCGACCTTGAAGTGGACGTGATGAGAAAGGACATAGAGCTTATGAAGAGCCAAGGAGCCGATGGGCTCGTTCTGGGTGCCTTGACAGAAGATGGACGGGTGGATGCAGAGCTCTGCATGGAGTTATTGGGTATGGTCTCTTTATATATTTGACCTGATTTGTTACATCACTCTAAATAACAATGAAAAGGCCAGACAGAATATATACAGTAACACTAAAAATAAACCAATAGTTATAAGAATTATATCTATGAGTTCGATAGATTGAGGAAACACCATCAACCTTTAGAAAGAGTACACAAAAACATATGCCTTCTTTTAAAATTAAATATTTCTGGTTTATATTGTAGAGACTTGTGATTTATTCTAAATAGTATCCCCAGATTGTTTCCAATACTGCAATATTGTAAATATACTTTCCTAAAAAATGAAATGCAAGTCAGAAAGGCAAAATATTATCACAATAGTGTAGAAGCCACAGAAATTTCATTGCTATGTCCAAGATTTTTAGTCACTTTTCAATGATAAGACAGATCCATAATACAGTCCCAATCAAATGCTGAAAAATGGCAAAAAGTAATATTTTGCATGGTTGGGTCTTAACAAGCTTCCAAGTAGAGCTTCAACATGCAACAAGAAGAAATGGGTGTGAGACAAAACATTTATTTGACATTGCAATTTATTGAAAACAACGGTTAAACTGAAACAGGCCATTGTTGCCATTTTTCAAGTGGTCTTAAACTTTTGATGGGGCTATTTCTATATTAATCAAGTCACATCAGATTTCCTTCCATTTCCTTCAGTGTGGCACCTTTTATTTAGCCACAAAAAATAAAAATAAACATGAACTTGCTGTTGAATTGTAAAGTTCTGAAAAAGCTGGCAAAACACACAAGAGCCAATATTTCTGTACCCTTCATTCTTCACATGTTTTCACTTAAAAAGAAAACCAATAATTTTACAAGGCCTAAAGCACTTGCAGTCTAAACATGAGCGTTTGACCTTAACTTGAGTTAATTATTTATTAAGGGATCAACAAAAGATCTTCCGGAAACTGTATTAGGAGGTGCAGACATGATAGTGTGCAAAACAATTGAATGTAACTCCTGCACACTGTTTTGCTTACCTCCAAAACATTTATTAAATTACATTGTTTTGGTCTGAATAACCCATTCACATGTATGGAAAAGCATACCAGAAAAGTTCAAATCATCCAATCAACTGATGGACACTTTGCTCTGTATTTTTGCCGTTAGTTAATTAAGGGATAACATTGAAACAGACACCAGTTTGTTTCAGTAATTTTGTTTTTGTGAAAGAGGAACATTTTACAGGTTGTCAGGAGTGCAGAGAGTTTGAACTAGTAGGCTTGAGTATCCAATATTTGTATTTTTACTATGCAAATATACAGTGGGGCAAAAAAGTATTTGGTCAGCCACCGATTGTGCAAGTTCCCCCACCTAAAATGATGACAGAGGTCAGTAATTTGCACCAGAGGTACACTTCAACTGTGAGAGACGGAATGTGAAAATGTCTTGGGATGCAACTCAGTATTCTTCTTCCTCCAAACACGACGAGTTGAGTTTATACCAAAAAGTTCTACTTTGGTTTCATCTGACCACATGACATTCTCCCAATCCTCTGCTGTATCATCCATGTGCTCTCTGGCAAACTTCAGACGGGCCTGGACATGCACTGGCTTCAGCAGCGGAACACGTCTGGCACTGCGGGATTTGATTCCCTGCCGTTGTAGTGTGTTACTGATGGTGACCTTTGTTACTTTGGTCCCAGCTCTCTGCAGGTCATTCACCAGGTCCCCCCGTGTGGTTCTGGATCTTTGCTCACCGTTCTCATGATCATTTTGACCCCACGGGATGAGATCTTGCGTGGAGCCCCAGATCGAGGGAGATTATCAGTGGTCTTGTATGTCTTCCATTTTCTGATGATTGCTCCCACAGTTGATTTTTTCACACCAAGCTGCTTGCCTATTGTAGATTCACTCTTCCCAGTCTGGTGCAGGTCTACAATACTTTTCCTGGTGTCCTTCGAAAGCTCTTTGGTCTTGGCCATGGCGGAGTTTGGAGTCTGACTGTTTGAGGCTGTGGACAGGTGTCTTTTATACAGATGATGAGTTCAAACAGGTGCCATTCATACAGGTAACGAGTGGGGGACAGAAAAGCTTCTTACAGAAGACGTTACACGTCTGTGAGAGCCAGAGATTTTCCTTGTTTGAGGTGACCAAATACTTATTTTCCACCCTAATTTACGAATAAATTCTTTACAAATCCTACCATGTGAATTTTTTCACATTCTGTCTCTCACAGTTGAAGTGTACCTCTGTTGCAAATTACTGACCTCTGTCATCATTTTAAGTGGGGGAACTTGCACAATCGGTGGCTGACTAAATACTTTTTTGCCCCACTGTAGCTAATTTATTATGGGACACCACTTGTTATGAAGATGCACAGGTAAAGACGTGTTACAGCAGGCTTGGTAATCCAGTTTTAATCTCACACAAGGTTTCATGTAGCCCGTCATATGTCAGCTCTCCAGAGAAGGAACTGCACTACATCTCCACAAGGTAGTTGTGACCCATGTTAAGCAAAATCAACCAGCACCATGAGTTCATCATATTTCCAAAGGTCCTACTGAGACCTCAGAACATGGCTAACCTCCAAAAATCAGACACTATATATTCTCTCAAGTTTTTATCACTATCTTTGCATTGTTACTTGCAATATGCAGTATAAAAAAGTGAAGCCAACAATCTTTGATATAGAGTATAGCAGTACAGCTGGCTATGAGTGATGGCTTTCATAAAGGTAGGAAAAAAATGCTTATATTGCTTATATTATACAAGTCGTATTTCACAGTTTTGCACTTTTGTTTGACATTTTGTACTTTTCCATTTCTTTCTTTTGTTTTCTTACTTTTTTGCACACTAGCTGCTGCCCGTCCCTTGCCTGTCACCTTCCACCGAGGTAAAAGTTTCTTCTTCAAAGTGCTTTTCAGCTTTAAGCTTTTAAAATTCTTTTCAGCTACAGTTACACTTAAAAAGCATCACAAATTCTTAATGGAATAAAAGCCTTACATAATGCTATTATCAGGTATAGCTCCGAAAAGGTATAGAACGTCTTAATGATATATTATTAAGCCTGGGCTTTTATTATGACACTAATCATGATCCTACTGCAGCTTTTGACATGGTTCATGACCCAGCAGTAGCTCTGGAGGCGCTGATATCGTTAGGGTTCGAGCGTGTGTTGACTAGTGGCTGTGACAGCTCCGCTTTGGAGGGACTGCCTCTCATTAAACGGCTTGTTGATCAAGTACGTGTACCCATATGATTGTCTTTCTTTACATGCAGACATATGAAACTCTAATAGCTGTTAGGTTATTGTTCTTGATCTTTCATAAAACCTTTAATTTTCACATCATTTCTACTCAACAGGCAAAGGGCAGAATTATCATAATGCCTGGTTAGTGCCTCCGCCATTGCTCCTTTGTTATTTATGTGTGAATTTTTACAACCTTATTTATTTATTCACTGTCACTGTTTTTGTTTTGATAACAGGAGGAGGCATCACAGAAAGGAACCTACAGAGAATATTAGAGGGGTCAGGGGCTCAAGAGTTTCACTGCTCAGCCCGCTCCAGCCGGGAATCTGCAATGAAGTTCAGGTGTGTTTATTTTCCAGTCTCAGGCGAGAGGTGGGATCTGTCCCTTTGGTTGCATGCATTAGGACACTTCTTGCAACCTCATGTCGATCTAATTATTATTTTTTCTATATAATTCTCTTCTTCTTCTCTTCTCTTGACGTTGTGCAGGAACACCTGCGTCTCAATGGGAGCTTCTTTCTCAGCACCTGAGTACGGCCTGAAGGTGGCAGATGTGAGCAAAGTCCGAACTCTAAACGCAATAGCCAAAAATACCTTGTGACTGTATAACAGTCATGATAGACTGGGAAAAAAAAATACCTCAAAAGTAATCATGAGTAATAATACTGATGTGTACTGATTAAATTCCATAAATAAATGTCATAATCGCCAGAAAGCTCTGCTTTTTGTTTTTTTCTTTTAAGATATAAAATCACCAATAAATCAGTCCGTGTCCAGTTAAAGAGCAAAGACATTAGTGCATCTCACAGAGTATCTGTGAATAATATGATGTCTATATATGGGAGCACTTCTCTAGTGATATCATCCAATAATGTGCATAGAGAACTACTCATGTGTCTGGATGTGCAGTCTGATTTATAGGATTTGGAAAACAGGTTTACTAAAATATGTTAATAATTTAAACATACAGGAGATGTGTACACAAATCTGTAAAAGTTCACTTTTTGGGTGTGTCTGTGTGTAAAAGATTCAGTAATATGAGATGTTTAAAAAGCCCCTCAGCTGTGAGGAGTATAAGAAGCTGAAAAAATGTGTAGTTTGTAAAGTTTTCAATAATAATGAGGCCATTTGTACTCTTCTCTTTTTATTATTAGTGTATAATTCACATACTGAGTCTTTTACACAGGTAAAAACTTTTCATTGTAGTTTTAATTTGTTTTGATGATCTATGTATGCACAAACTGTTATTTTACACAGTCATGAACCTCTGGTCTCACATCTTAATAGATTTTTATTTTTTATTTTTTTTTATAGGCATTCATAAAACAGACTAATCCAGGTCAAACAGATTCACACCTCTGCACACTAACAAATGACATTGCTACAGTAATGCCCCCCATGTATGTTCAACTACAGTTGATTTCTACACTGAAAATGTGTATTTTTTTCCTAATGAAAGATAACTGCTTTTTAAAATGGCAAAACAAAATATCAATTTTACATAACTCCCTATTTAAAGTGATACATAATGCACAGTTGTGACTTCCTGTTTTTGTTTTTTCTCTGTTCATTTTCATCTTCTTCTTCTTCTTTTAATAAAAACAGTTTTCATATTAGATTACATCTTCTGTCTTTTAAAAAAATATTATGCATTATGCACAAAACTTTCCCTAAAATGATTTGACTTGGTTGAAATATTAAAAGCTAGTTTCTTTAATTGTTTTTATTTGACTTTTGACACACTGCACAGACATATCTGTTTTTGTTTGGCTTATCTTTCTTATCAGCTGGTGGCGTCTGGTCAGAGACAAAGTTTTTTACAAGTGAACAAAATGCTCTATCCTCTATTATAAGGGGCAGTACCGAGTGATTATTCTTATTAAAGTACATTTTTGATAATAGTTTAGTCTACGTGTCAGTAGAAAGGAAAGCTAATCTGAGTTTTGATGACAGATAAAACAATCATATGTGTGTGTATATATGTACATATATAAGTGGAACCAGAAAAGTTTTTAAAGTCAGAGAAGAGGTTTTTTTTATTCAAATATTCATCTACATCTCTGAGTTTTACTTTTATCATATTTCAAATCTGCTACAGTCAGCTTTACCATTTCTCTGAAAAAGCTGCATCTTTTTTTCCTGCTGTGAGTGTCCTACCCTTTGTACAGATATCTTAAAATCAAGTCCTTGTCAATGTAATTGGATAAACACTGGATAACGACATGCATGAGTTGTTTTCACGTGTAACATAGCTGTCCTTGATGCTTTACACCCAATGAGTCATGTGATGTTACCAGACATTTTAATAATTAACCAGTTTTAGGACCATTGCAATCAGCAAAAGACTCACATACACTTGTGTGTTGTCACGCGCTTTAATAACCTCCCTGCTTAACGTGCTTTCCCTGTGTCATGCTGATTCTTCATTTAACTGCAACTACAATTTAGGAAGTCTCTATTGAAAAATTCACTGATAATCTTGTTTACCAAGTTGTTTATTGGTCTGCCATTAGTTGCGAGCATGCTTAGGAGTATGTACAGAGGTGAAGTTCAAAGGTGATTTTGTGCTTTCTCTTGCTGTTTTGAGAAGTGTCTGAGGTTTGCATAACACATAACTTCTATTGGTTTGTCAAAACCTATTGATTATTCTTAATCTTAAGTAGTTTCATTTTTATCCTCCTGTGTAGACAGACTCACTCTTATTAGCAGCGATGATTTTTTCATTTTATGGGTGATTGAGTCTCTGGTGCCTAGAAAAAATTCTCCTACAAAAATAGTCCATCAACACAACTGACAGCAGCACAAAAGCTTTTTTTTGTTAAGCTGTAAAAGCTTGATTGCTCCTCCAGAGACGCTCTCAACCTTTAGTTAAATTTCTGCAGAGCGCAGACAATGAAAATTAATCTATACTCAATCTTACGTTGCTCTTTGGTTTTTGGAGCATGCACCCTGATCAGAATGGGACACAAAAAACAGCAAATGAGAAAGAAACAGCTTCACTAGTTAGCAGTTTGTCAGCCTGCAGCTTGTTTACAGTTCAGCAGCTTCAACCTTGAGCAGCCTCATTCAAATGCATGACTACCCAAATCTAATCAAATTGATTTTGATCCGATTGAATCTGACTTTTGTTCCACAAATGAGTCTCGGTTCAGAAGACAGTGAAGACGTGCTGAGGAGAAGTGGAAACATAACAGGAAAAGGGGTCTAATGAGACCACTCCCTCCCTTTCCTGAAACACATGCCCTTTGGTGGGCTGTCCCCCAACACTGCAAAAACTGCATGGTAAGACTTATGCAAGGCCTTCTCTTTTGTGAGAAACCCATCTGCACGACATGTTGAGCTTTAAACACGTGAGTGTGGAGGAGTGTCTTTGCTGGTGCAAAGCTCGATGCTCAATGACTTTGCTAAATCTGTTGGATGTTCTCAGTGGCTCATTAGGAGAGCTGTAGTAGACTTTTTGAAGACACTGTTATCCAACTAAAGAACGTCTGCCGAAAAAGAAAGAAATCAGCATTCGGGACATGACTATCAGTTCTTCTATTCTTTACACCAATCCAGTATAAGTGTCTTTTCTCTGCAGAGGGAATAAGCAACTTTTTCTTTCAGCTTAAAAGCCTCATGGATCAAAGTCCTTCACAGCCACATCCTGTAATTGTCAGTGGAGTGTGGGCGGACAGAGGAGAAAGCAGCAGTATTTGAGTCAAACGCGGCAGTAGCGGAGCAGAGGGTGAGAGGCGTCGGGTTGTCCGGTCAGCTGAGGTCGACTGAAGCCATCACTGTAAAGCATGTGTGCGGCAGCTCTGGAGGAGTACTGTGGGTCCATTTTTTGGGTGAGTTTAACAAACAGAAATGACTAAGAAGTAAAAAAGTAACTTTTAAGAATTGAGGAAAACTTGAAGAATTTAGGTAAATTGATTCACTGTGGCCTCCAGTGTTTTTAGCCTCTTGAGATTGAAAATCACTCAATAAGCTGATGCAAACACATATGTTTAGTAACCTACAAAGTAAATTGTCTGGAAAATAAGTTGAGAATTGCAAAAGATAGACACAATATCTTAAAACATCATGCCAGAAACCCGCTGATGTCATAGTGTAGCCAGATGTTTGAAGTCCTTTCTGTGCTTCTTTCTATGCTACTGTATGACAAGAGAGAAAATCTAACCTATTTGAGACAGATTAAAAGGCAGCATACATTGAAGACTTTGTCAGAAAGATTACACAATAATGAACAGCTGTTCATTGTTATCATTATAGAAGGTTGTACTTCCTATTTTTCATAGGAAGCATGAAGTGGATTTTCCAAGAATACAGAAAAATAGATGATTAAGTTTTATACAGAATTTTATCATAAGCAGCATCAGCATTTCCTCCCCTTTACACATAGTAAATATGTGACAGGCCAGTAATCACTAGGACATGACGTAACCTGTGACTCGGCCACAGCTTTAATTCTGTGTTATTATAGATTTTTAAATAAAAACACTTGTTAAAGTACATTCAGATATGTGTCGCTTCAGTCACATGATGTTTGCTTCAATACAGTAATACATTAGCCATTAAAAGAGTTATGTATCGCTGTTAGCCACCTTCAAAAAGAAAACACAAAATGGTAAGGATTGCTGCTTTTTTCACATAAGCTACCATGTTATACTTCTAGTTTGAACTGTTTGGTCTGACGATAGTTAAACTTCGAACCATTTCTAGACTTTTTCAAAAATAATTTTACACATTAAACTTTTTAATCTGTGATAAACGCAGTCTGTGCCTGTGATTTAATATTGGTGGGAGATTGATGAGATTTGCCAGCAGGATTTTGTGATGCATGTGTGTTTGTGTGTGTGCATGTGCCCTTCAGAATGCTTCATATCTGGAGCGACCAGACCCAGACCTCCCAGTATGTGTGGAACAGACAGTTCTTGTCTGGATACCTCTGGGCTTCCTGTGGCTCTTTGCCCCGTGGCACCTGGTGCCTCTCTTTAGAAGGCCAAAAGTAAACACAAAGCACCTGTCCAAGCTTTACATCTGCAAACAGGTAAGAAATACTCTCTGATAAAGACATCCCATCAAAAACACAAATGCTTAATTTTATAACTCAGCTGCCTGTTTTTTGGTTTCAAATGTTTACACCACGCATCTGCAATCTGGACCTTAACATGGAAAAATTGTCTTTTCTGTCGACATTTTAAACACTTTTTTTCAGAATGTGAATGTAAGATAAGGTTCAGCAGTTAAAGTTTGTACATCATTTTGTACAAACACATGCAAGGAAAATTCTCCTATAAGGTTTGTGAGTTTATTATAAATGCATGTACTGTGTATGTGCTGTTCTTTCGTGGAAAGGCCAAGAGATCCACACCAGAAGAACAAAGAGATGTGTCATTCCTGCACTCTGTAATTTCAGCAGAAAGGCAGGCATCTGTTATCAGTTCTCCAAAACCTTGAAGGGAAGAACTCAGTTTGTTTTCCCATTGTTACGGATTCAAATATTGGGGATGGATGCAAGAGGAAAAACCAAAATAACAACACTGGTCCGGCCGGGTTGAGTCAAACGATGATTTTAATGATCACACGCGTGGGAGATGGACACCGTACGCAGACAGCATCAGATCTCAAAATGGTGGAGCATTGATCAAACTCTTATAGCCTCTAGTGGCCCCCACCTAATCATAAAAGCCTAAACATTCACATTCTTTCTCTCACACGGCGCCTAAGCTACGACCTTGGCTCCCTGTTTATCTGCTCCTGCTGAGATGGGGCAGAAAACCTCTCCAGTATGTTCTGTTCTCTTCTAATCAGACAAATAAGGCGATGACTTTCTGCGAACAGTATTTCTTATAACTCAGCAGTATAATGCATCATATAACAATATCATTCATTCACAATAAATCAGCAGTCTAATGTAATGCAAATCAGTTTAACAAATGCAATAGTTATCACCTTCTTGTAATTCAGGAGAATAATGCAAACTAAAACTACATAATAATTCACAATCTTTAATTAGGGGTCTAACATGGCATAAAATAATATTATAATCCCACAGTCCCCCTGTTGAGCTCTTTAGAATAAAGCTTCAAGCAATGTTTAATGCAATGCTTGTTATATGATTCTGATGTAACGATAATGCTGATGCTGAAATAACAGTAAAACACCCCCTTTTGTCCCGTTTATAAACTTCACACATAAACGTTTATAAATGCCTCTTTTAAATTATATTTCCCCCTGTTTTTCCCTTACTGACCACAGCAGGGGAAGCTTTGTTTTGAGTCAGCCATGAATCCAGCTCAGCTGATTCATCACTGAGCCCCACTGTCACTGGTAACTGACAGAGTGGCGCTGCATACTTGTCCTTTAATGTCACTATTTCCAATCTGTTAATTAGAGTGCTTAAACATGAAGTAGACTACGTCCACAACAAGTCAATACAGCTGTAAATGTGGCCAATTATCAATCTATTACCAATCAATAATGAAAAATAGCTTTTATTTTATTTTATTTTAGTCAATCACTCACCCAGAGGATCTCCAATCCCAGAAAATTCCTTCTCCTTATTTAATGAGTCCGTCCTCCTTCCATGCCTTGGTAACTGGTCCTCCCAGAGCCATATCATCTTGAAATATACATACAACAAGCCAAACCACACCTTGGTCACACCAACCCTTTTCCACCCTGAAGATGTCCAACGCCATCTTAGTCTGGACCAAGGTTTTAATAGTTTTGCAATTTTCATTAGTTTTTATTTTTATTTAGTTTCGACTTCAGATTTTCAATTTTCTGTCAGTTGTAATTAGTTTTTACCAATTGTTTGCTAGTTTAGTTTAGTTTCTATTTTTTTGAAAATCCTTAGTTTCAGTTTAGTTTTGATTAGTTTCAGTTATATTTTTAGGTAAGCTAGGTTAGCCTTCTTGTGTGAGCTTTTCAAGTGCACTTTAAGGTTTGTGGGATTTTTTCCCTTTAGAAATGTCCCTCATAATTTGTGTCTTTCCACTACAAGACACTTGCTTTATCCAAAACACAGTCATATTCAAAGTAATCCCAAATTGGACTCTGGCGCTTTCTCCCGACTTTTCCTGACATGATTCTGTGCGTGGACGGAGCAGC